TGTTGGCGGATTGTTGACATTGTCAGTTGCACCATTTTGATCAGTTCCAGCCACTGTAGTCGATTGTTGAACTTGACGACTCGTTCCTGCTCCAGGGTTATCAACGCCATTTGCATTACGAGTTACACCTCCAGCTCGAGCTGGTCGCTTTGTTGGCGGATTGTTGACATTGTCAGTTGCACCATTTTGATCAGTTCCAGCCACTGTAGTCGATTGTTGAACTTGACGACTCGTTCCTGCTCCAGGGTCATCGACGCCATTTGCATTACGAGTTACACCTCCAGCTCGAGCTGGTCGCTTTGTTGGCGGTCCCAATGTATCAGATTGGCGCGTTCGAGCGCGAACCATCTCCGGTTTTCTCCATTTTCTATCGAAAAAAGAGCAAGAGAACAGATTTTATTATATTACGGTTTTCTCCAAGTGCTCATACTATAAATGACTCTCAAACAATAAGAAAATGCTAGTGCCCCAACGATTTTCATCAGAAATCAAACAATATTTCGATCAAATTCAGTTCAATGGCAACTAATGTCGTCGCATAAAATCCAATTTAACAATGTGTATACAGTATTCAGTATTGCAATTCAATCGACATTGGAAGTGTGGACAGGACAAAAAAGTGTCGCACAATAATGTATCGTCTCGATTTGGAGTAGCGCACTTGTTTCTCAGTATTTCCTTGGCGATTGTGCGTTTGGTATGCTACCTTAATACTTTTCATTTGATGAGTTGACTTTGCATCGAATAATACCGCTAACTCGACAGCGACACTCATACACTCACTAACACAAGTACGAACAAAATGTTGCTTATTTCGGTTTCCGATTAAGAAATCTCATTGGAGTTTGCTTTGCTTTTGTGTTTTTTTCCAATCACATTTTTCGTGCAAAAGGTCTTATGCACAATGAATTCTCGGAGGGAAAAGAGCATTGTGTCACGAACGGAGAACAATTCGAACGGTATTCAACAGATATCGAAAGTAAATCGGAGATAACCAACCGCATAGCCTAGCCAAAAATCCATAGAATGCTCGAATTTTTGCGCAGTTCTTGTCAACACAAAAACAGCCATTGTATCGCGAATGAGAACCGTTCGATTGTCGATGCATGAAAACACATGTTTTATAATGCAACAATGGCTGGTTTTGTGTTGACAAGAACTGCGCAAAAATTTGAGCATTCTATGGATTTTTGGCTAGGCTGTGCGGTTGTTTATCTCCGATTTACTTTCGATATCGGTTGAATACCGTTCGAATTATTCTCCGTTTGTGACTCAATTCTCTTTTCCCTCTGAGAGTTCATTTTGCAATTGACCTTTTAAACAAAAAATATGATTGGAAACAAACAAACACAAAAGCAAAGCAAACTCCAATGAGATTTCTTCATTGGAAATGCCGAATTTAAACTCTTCTGCATTATGAAATTTAAACTTCCAACTGTGTTTGTGAATATTTTGCCGTGTTGTTCATGCCGTGAAAAAAAAATTGGAAAAAGAACTACTTTTTTACAATAGTTTTTATCTGAAGCTACACGAATGCTCCTTCAATCATTAAATCTATTATATAAAAAAAATTATTCTAAATGCTTTAATTCTTCTAATGTTTTAATGCATTTTCGAGTCTAATCTTGTACTCAAAACGATCAAGAAAGTCGCGAAAATCAACATTTAGTTTACTTAGAAAAGAGATCGAACTTTCAGTGCTGAATAATTGCATTAAAACCGATAAATTTGAAAGAAAAGAACTTTAGACGAGGTTAATATGGATTCACGCTTTGATTTGAATTGAACGCTATTCTGATTGCATAAACACTAAATTTCCACAATTTTCGGTAGTAATTGTATTATCACTGGGCATTTCGCGTTATTTTCATTGGATTTTTCTAATCTGAACATATGATGTCACATTTTCTACTAATGTTTTAATTAATTATGTACATTTACCTTTTCAGAAAACCAGTTCTGGTTATTCCATATGATTCGGTTCGTCAATCTCGCTTGGAGTGAGAATATGAAATGGCGAGTCATTTGGTCCTGTGTTGAACTGATTGCGAAATAGCCAGCCAATCAAAGCGCTGGTATACGCACCGCGGAGACACTTCATCCTTTCGAAATGTCATAGTGTTGTCGCTGTCAATTTCGAATCGTTCTTTCTGTTCTTTGAAATGAAGATTTTTTTTGGAAGAAAAAATGATTAGGTGGTTTGAAAAAACTGCAGATTTTTTGCTTTCATAATTTTTATGTGGTTATTAACAGTAATATTTTAATGCGATAATATTTCATTTATTTTTAATGCGTTTTCGGAAATTTATCAACAGATTATAATCAAGTAATTTTTGCTCCAATTTCATTTTGTGCTACGATCATTTTAAAGTTTGAAAAATGATTTAAATTTTAGAAAAATAGCTCTTGAAATTTTCATTATTTACAGAAACTGTCGTCTGATTTGGATTGCTATTAACATTTTTAGTTTTGAAAAAACCAATTGAAGTCATTTCGTGTAATAATTTATTGAAATGTGGCACCACCGTGTCCTGCAAATTATCTGAACTCAAACGTCATTGAACATTCACATTCGAATAAACATCGGATTATAACAATCGAACACGCAACACATATACACGTTGCATCGTCTCATTTCGACTAATTTCATGATGGTTTCTCCGTAATGGGTTGACCACTTTGTTGCCAAGAAAATGTCATCTCCGACATAAATGATTACCTTTCGTGCATTGGCTGACTTTTCACGTTCCTTGTTCAATTTCGGTAAGTTGAGAGTGCGTTCATTGAGGTAAGCATAGAGTTTCCTCAACTTCTTTGAATGACGCATGAATGGTAACAGGTCATTCGACGATATGGAGCTGATTGTAACTTGTTCGAGATTCACAAGATCTGAATATCGTTTGCTTTGAGGCCGCTAGGGAGATGTAACTCTTTCAAACTGACCATTTGAGGCACACTGTAAATTTTGTTGAATTTTTTGAAGTGTAGTCTTTCGAGACCGGGCACCAGAATAATCTGATCGCAAAGCTGTTGGCTTATCTCTCTAAAATTTAGATGCAGCCGCTTGTAGAAGCCTTTCTCATGAAGTTGTTTCAGAAGATCGCAGATCTCATGCATATTTCCTATCGGATCATAGTGGAAATCTTCGACACACAACGTCTCCAATTTTGCTTTGGAATCCATGAGCTGATTTCGATTCGCCCAGAAACAACGGTAATTAGTCGAAAATATGTCCACGTTGGGATTTCGTTCGAAAAAAGAGACAAGCTCATTAATTTCGTTCACATTTCGTGGACCCAAATGTAAGCGCTTGAGTTTTGGGTAATTTTGAAGTAACCATGGATTTTTCTTCCTGCTTATAATATCCCCAAGATCATCTTGAATCCACAGATTCGTCACGTTTTCACAGAGTTTCAATATATCATTAAACATGTCACACCAAGCTGAGCATTGATGTATCGCTAAATTTTCAATTTTTGGTAAAATCTTGCGAAAGTATTCAGCCTTCTCCTTATTTAGTCTTGTGCACACGAGGTAAAGATTGTTGACCGAATCTAATTCGTCACTGTGCGACTCAATGTAACGCAGTGGGCCCCGTCCGTGATCGTAGTAATGTGATATATTGGTAATGTATCGATTGAAACCTGATGTCAGCGTTTGCTTATTGGATGCACCTTCATGGTCGTAGTAATATGTGTAAATGCCATCATCACGGGTGAATTTTTCAGCTCCAGCACAATTCCGCTTGAAATATTCACCGGCCACTTTCTGCATTGCTTTGCATGTTTGACCAAATGAATGTAAATCCTTCGTTGACCAATAGTCAAATATTTCATCACAGCAATCGACCGTCAGCTTGAAAATCGGTGGTGATGCCGGGCGGTTCGATGGGCCAGCAGCTGCTGTTTGGTTTTGATCATCATCATTCGATTCATCGGACAACCTTTTTTTCTTGGATGCCTTTCGTTTCGAACGAAAAATCTTCATGATGTTACTCATAGCTTTCCTATAGAAAGGGGGAATAAATTGAAATTCCGAATTAATTATTATTTGATTTTAATATAAATGCCAATTTCTCATAATTTCATTGTTCCATGATTCGAGAGACATAAAGCGATACCAATTAAATCGAAATTCCATTGATCAGGTCAAAATTTACAAAGGTCAATAGGTCATGCTCTCTTCAACGAATTAATGATAAGCAAATTCGTTGACCTTTCAAGGCACACGATTGCAGTTGTTGACGATCACATGTCCTTAAATTGTGATATTAGACGATTGCTCATATTACACCGAATTGTTCATTGGATAATATCCAAAACATCGTTCAATGATTAGAAAAATATTCGAATGATTCACCATTAGAGGAATTACAGAATTAAGCCAAACACTGGCTCGGACATAGGAATGTGTTTACCTATATATTTTTTACTGTATGTAAGGCATAGACGTACGAACGATCGTACGACGAACGTATCAATAGAGTCATCGTTGTTCGCTGTGTACTGTATTCATACACACACTTATGTACGCGTCTATGTTTTGGATTTTTATACAGTATAAAACATGTAGGTAAACATATTCCTTTTATAGCCGTAGAGAGCATATATACATGTGTCGCTGAGCATAAAAATGAGAATACAGATCTGTTACAGCAACAACCGAACATAAAATATTGTTCCCTAAAAACGTTACATGAATTTCTATCCAACGCGAGTGTAACATGAGCTAATACTGTTTCTAATGCAACTCATGTTACACTCGCGTAGATGGAAATTCATGTAACGTTTTTAGGGAACAATATTACGTTATTTGTTTAACAAAAACATTTGAAAAAATTATGATTATGCCTTCAAATTTTCTTATTTATAGCGATATATTTCACATGTGTTTTCGATTGTCGACTCTTGTTTGTATAGATTCACTTGGAATTTGATATTTCGTATTAACTGCAGAAAATGCGGTTTGTCAAATGAAATAGGTGATACATTATGGAGACGTTTGTTATGTGATTGCAATTTTCTTCGTTTCCCAAATACATTTTTGCCAAATTCCTTTGCATGAGGCTTCATTCTTTAGTTTCACATGCTGTAATTCATTGTGTCAACAATATTTTGGAATCCGAACTTCGTTGAAGATCTATGCCCGAATTAAATGAACTCACAGAAAATAAAGAATATCATCCGCCCCGTTTATAATTGAAAATGAACAAACATTGAATTTACATTGGTGTTTACCGTATTTTTTCTTTTTTTTAAACTGATTCTTCCTGCGAACAATCCACGACTCGTTGAAAAATTCGATTTAATATGAACCGCACAAATGGAGCTGTTCTCTTGCACTGATTCATTCAATCCTTTTTTGCTTCATTCTTAGAAAACGTTTTAAATGCGTACATCGTTCTGTGCGATTGGAACCATCACATTGAAAATACCGCATTCTTATCTTTGTGCATGTATTCGCATATGCGATACAGTGAGTGTGTATATTTGTCTTCTTCACTCCCAAGTGGAAGCATATAGAAAGAGTGCAGCATTCATCGCTGTCACAGTGACACATTTATATTGGACTAAATGCCGAATTCAATATTGTTAACATGTAATTGTGTTATTTCATTCGTACTTATGTCTATGAATCTTTCTTCATTTCTTTATTTTGTTCTCGCAATAAGACACAAACAAGGAGGAGAAAAGGAGGAGAACCGTCTCCTTTTTGAAACTGTATCATTCAATGAATTTGGCTGTGTAGCTATCTCGCTTAGCTGATGTTTGTTCTTTTGGCCGTTGTATCGTTATCGCTTCTTTTCTTCGGATACTAAAATCGCTATAAAAATTGTGTGAAACAAGAGTAGTTCGTGTTGCTGTTTTATACAGAAAAGAAAAATAACTGTTGTTTTTGATCATCTTTGCTATTTAGAGGAAAAATAAATTGAAAATTCAATTTAATTTTAAATAAGAAGTCAAATTCACATTTCATAAATGATAACTTTCAATCACCTTATTCAGTTTTCATTTAACAAACTTCGAAAAAATAGAAAATAGAACGAAATTGATGTGAAAAGAAGCTATGTTCGGCAAATTATGATGTTGTCATAAGACTTGATTGAAACAATGTTGAAATTCAATCTTCAAATATTTTTCAATGAATTTAAGACAAAAATTGCTTTTTTGCTTGTATAAATTGTAGAATGAATTATAGGCAAATGTATGCCCCTATTCAGTCTGTGATTAAACGGTGCAATAAACAGTATTTGCTTTGGTTTCCCAGTTCAATGTTATCGCCACGTGTTATTTCATTCGAACTGAATTCCATGAAATCATATTTCGCCGAAAAACAAATTCCTTTTTTTTTCCCGCATACATGAACATAATCAAAAAGACGAAGAAAAGAACAAAACGCACACAACGAATCGTACTTTCATCGTCTCATTCAAATTTAGCTTAATATATTTAGCCATTGTATAATGTTTGCACCTTCTATTATTCACACATTGAAGTCGCTGTCGCTACCAAAAAGTCGTATGGAAGAAATGTTGCTATTTTGAAGAGATAAGAATCTATTGAATATAGCTTCAAAACAGTTAAAACAATCGCGACTCGTCTGTTAAGGAAAACTTGAAGCGAAATTTTCATAGCAAAAATATAAACAAATGAACTTGATTTTTTATTTCCTCTTTAAAAGTTTCAATTTGATCATTGCATCATTTCTACATGGGGGGTATCGGACATAAATTTCCAAACGGACTGGTCCGTTGTCCAACTAAAGTACCTACTTCAAATGAATGTGGATAGTAATTTCTACACTCTACAATAATGATAAAAGAATAAACGAAAATGTTTGTTTCTGTCGATTCAAAAAATACTTTGATCCTAACATTTATTGCATTCAATAATGATGATTCCATTCGTATGAGTCAGAACGCTTCATTTCGATGTATTTCAAGTGGGTATCACCGTTTTTGGTTGCCCATTTTGTGGCTAAAAACACATCGTCCCGAACATAAATTGTCACCTTTCGTGCATTCGGCAATTTTCCACGTTCCTTGTTCAATGCAACCAGATTGAGAACTCTTCCATTAGAAAAACTATTGAGTTGACCGTCATCTTGACCATCGTCTAGATTCTTATGGGCAATTGAGTTATCAATGGAATTCGATTTACTATTGCTATTTCCCGCGATATTTTCCATGTTTGCCTCAGCTTTAGGACCATCGTTTTGGTCAATGTTATCGCCGTCATTATCATCATTTGATGGTTTTTCTTCAGCGGAGAAACAATCCCCGTTATGAATTCGATTTTCATCACGAATTTCACTGTCATTTTTGTTTTCGACCTGATTTTCAACTTTATCTCCACTTTTTCCTTCACCTCCTGCATGAATCTTCTCTTGTTCGTCATTTTCACTCTCATCATCGCTGTCCTCGTCATTATAGTAGTCATAATAGTTGTAATAAATTGGAGTTGCATCTTCTTCGGAATCTTTCTCATCTTTGGGAAGCATTTTAAGTTTGTTCAGTTTGGCTGATTGACGAATAAATGGCAAAATGTCTTCAACTGTAGCTTTGTCAACGTAAAGTCGTTCCAGTTTCACCAGACCATTGGCCAGAATTTCGGCATCGGCTACATTTAATCCATCCAAAAGTATGAGCTCTTTCAAATTGGTCAAACAGGTTAGATTATAATTTCCGCTGAACCATCGAACGCACAACGTTTCAAGGTTCGGAAGCGATGCCAACTTAATGCTGAGATCTTGGTTAACGCCATCGGTATAAAGAAATAATCGTTTATAAAAACCTTGCGAATGGAGTTGTTTCAGTAGATCCCAAATTGAATCACCATATCCCAAGAAATGATTCGATTTAATCTCCAAAATATTCAGTTTTGCCTTCGTTTTTACCAATTCATTTCTGTTTGCCCATAGAAAAACTCCGCTGGTCGAAAAGCGTTGAACTTTTGGATTGCGTGTGAAGAATTCACTCAATTCTTCTATGACATGCAAGTGATTGGGTATCAATTCCAAGTGGCTCAGGTGTGGATAATCGGCCAATAGCCACTCAAACTTGCCATTGAAACTGGAGTCGGAATTTTGCACATAAATTTTCTTCAAATTGTCACAATATTTTAGCATCAGTTCATGCAAATTTCCGGTTGCATGACCATTTTTTATTTGCACTACTTCGATTTTTGGCAATATTTTCTGGATGAATTGGACTTTTTCGCGATTCAAATTTAAACTTACAAAACAAATGTGCTTGATGGACTTGAATTCATCGATGTGAGATCGAAGATACCGAAGCGGATCAAGTCGCTCAAAATGATGAGATATGCAAGGCATAGACTGATTGAAATACGATATCCAAATACGTTCATCGATCACACTTTCACTGTCAGAATAAATCGTGTATATTCCATCCTTTGCACAGAATTTTTCAGCCGCCGAATAATTTTGCTTAAAATACTCTCCGGCCACCTTTTGCATCGTCTTGCACGTTTGACCAAACGAATGCAAGTCTTTGAGTGATAAATACTCGAATATTTCATCGAAGCAATCAATAGTTAATTTGAAGATTTTTGGAGAAGATTCTTTATTTGAAGGACGAGTAATTGCCGATCCGTTGCTTTGTTGATCTTCTGATTTCGATGTCAATGCTTTTATTTCCTCTGTTGTATGATTCATTTTGATTTTTCGTCAATTAATTGATGCCGATGATTTCAAACTCTTTCAATTTGTCCACCATAGATGAATTCAATTCATCCACCGATGACAAAGAACGTGGTTGAACTGCAGTTAAGCTGTGAATGAAAAATAGAAATTTAAAAACAAAGCCGTATTTTCCTAATAAGTTGTAGTGGATTGCCTCAGTAGTGCATTCACCATTCACCATAATAATAGAACGATATTTGAAGGAATAATCACACATAATAAGTAATAATAATAACACATGAGTGGATAACAAAAAAGCTTACATAAAATAGATGGAAAATTTCCTTTCTTCAACTTCAATTCCTTACGCTATGAAGTGCGCAGTAAACCTTTCAAAACTTAGAGAAAAAAAAACACAACTTTATTCCTCCAAAAATGAAATTAGATTCGAAATCGAAGCAAAAAATCATTTTCCTGCCTCACATCACACAGACATTTGTTATTTTCGGATTTACGACAGCAGCTAAAAATAAAAACGTTCCGATCTTGACGTTGGTCGTTCGTTTGACTTGAAGTTTCTTCAAAACTTGTCATTCACGATTTCTTTGAATGAACGTCATCATGAAAAGTGAAGTCTATAGTTTATAGGAAAATGTTTTGCGAAAAATAAAAAAAAATTGAAAGAATGGAATAATATAAAGAACAATTACGATCAAATGAACTCTTGAGGTATTTTGGATATTTTTTGTTGAAGTTTTTTTGCTTTACAATCATTTCTCACTTCAAGCAGTTGGTTGTGAAGAAAAGTGATGGAATCAAATTGAAGCAAACGAAAATCGAAAAAACTGAATTTGATGAGCTCAACTCTTCTTGTTAAAACTCCAATGGAGCCTTAATTTATTTTATTACTCACTTTGACTCACGCCCTCCATACACGCAAACATTTCGCTCCGGTTTCTATTATTTACTTTCTTGTTCTCTCCATGTCTCTCCTTCTTACACGCGAAAACAAGTGTTCCGTCAATAAACAAAAGCCGGTTAGCTAGCCTTGAACTTGAATTTTGCTTGATAGTGTATAACATGATACGTTAGTGACGCAACTATGGAGGATTACTGGAGTTTGTCGTGGCGATATTTAGACGTGATAATTTGTCGTTAGAAGCAGATCGTGTTAAGAGCTAACTAACGTCAGCTGCTGACGAGTATGCGTTGCGTTATTTTAACGCATTTTACAGTATAAAAAGGAGATATCATCCCAACATACCAATCCTATGATCACTGAAACTTTGGTTTTTACACTGCAAATCCGTTAAAACAACGCAACGCATGTTATTTAGTGCTGCTGACGTCAGCTCATAACACGCTCTGGTTAGAATTTCTAACTTGAAACTAATATTCTACGCCCAATTTAATTGGATTGTTCTAGACATGTAGTTGGGTGTGTTTTGACTAGACATGTAGTTGGCCATCAATTTTATGTGAGAAATGAAAAATTGTCGATAAAAAGCATTTAGGAGGCTAGACTTGTAGAAACACCGTGATCATATAATTGGAGAGCATATTTTCTGACGAAAATCAAAACTATTATTCTCTTGAGCATTGAAAAACCCGTTTTGAATGAAAAATCCATTGATTTATTTGTAAAATTTATTTATTCAAACAAAACAAAACATTTTATTCTAGAATACAAGAAAAAAATAATAAAAATTGCGTACAAAAATAAAATTTTCAATTCAAAATGTCATTTTGTCAGAAAGTTATGCCGAGGTAGATCTTTTCATTTCGATGTATTTTAAGTTTGTGTCACCATTTTTGGTGCACCATTTAGTGGCTAAGAACACGTCGTCTGGCACATAAATTACCACCTTTCGTCCGCCAACTAATTTCATTCGTTCTTCGTTCAATCGCTGCAAATCGAGAATATTCTCGGTAAAACTGGCGTGGATTTTGTTCAACTTTCCGGACAGTTGAATGAATGGCAGTATATCGTCCAATTTAGCTTTGTTTAGTGAAATTCGCGTGAGATTTACGAGGTTTTTCGCGAGTATTTCCATGTCAAAGGGATTAAAACCATCGTAAATGGTTAATTCTTTCAAATTGATGAGTCGAGACAGGCCGCAACGTTCGCTAAAATGCATAATTGAAATGGATTCTAGGGCCTGAAGCGAAGCAAATTGTTCGCCACACTCTTGATTCGGGCCGGTCACATTCAATCTCAATCGCTTATAAAAACCACGTTCATGCAATTGATTCAATAAATTACAAAATGTTTGCATGGTTATCGACAAAACCTGGTGACCATCGTAGATTTCCAGCGTATCCAGTTTGGCATTGGATCGCAGTAGTTCGGGACAATGTCGCCAAAGAACGCCTGATGTTGTTAAAAAGGTACGAATGCTTGGATTTCGTTCGAAAAACGAATTCAAATCGTTCACTTTGAACGAATTGCGTGCGGTCAATTGGAATGTTTCCAGCGATGGATATTCTCGTTGTAGCCATGGATTTTTACGCTCTTTTACAATGTCACCAACATCATCTTGTACATAAATAAACTTCAAATTTCCGCAAAATTTAAGGAATTTATCGTAATAATCACCCACAATTGTACACTGTCTCACACGCACGACTTCAATTTTCGGCAATATTTTCTCGACGCTTTTGACTGTAGCTTCGTTGATTTCACAGCACACGAGATAAATCTCGTTGATTGACGCAAACTCAGCGCCATGGCCTTGAATGTATTGAAGTGGCCCGAGTTCATTGTGGTAATGTGACGTGTAGTTGATGAATTGATTGAAACCGGAAATTTTAGTGCGATGTTCAATTCCCGAACAAACCGTATAAATGCCGTCTTCGTTGGTAAATTTTTCAGCTCCAACATAGTTGCGTTTGAAATATTGGCCGGTTACTTGCTGCATCGTTTTACATGTTTGACCAAAGGAATGCAAGTCTTCCAAAGATAAATACTCAAAAATTTCATCAAAGCAATCAATATCCAGCTTGAAGATTTTCGGAGAATCAGATTCTTTCATTCGTTTTTCTCTTTTATTCGATTCCAATCGTTTCGCATCTTCGTTTGATGACTTCTCCGATACACGTTTCGAACCACCGAAAAATTTACTAATTTTATCCATTTGCTTTGAAAAAATTTTAAAAATCACGAATTTTAATAAAAAATTTATTCGAATTCAACAAATTTTTATTGAAAATCAATGAAATAATAAATGTTCAATTATTACCTTGTAATTGTTGTCGCAGCAAATCAAATTGCGTACTTAACTATGAAACAGCTCAAGGATGACTAATAATGATGTTGCGTTTCTGTTTCGAAGATATCATAGTAAACAAAACTACAATAACAAACACATGACGTCTCGACGTACGATGTCAGATGTTTTCGTTTGACACCTTTTTTTCTGTCAGTCGTTACCTGTCATTCAATTCGGGTTCTGGTTTTCTAATGTTTTGCGAAGAAAAATACGTTAACATTTGACAATTCAAATGTGTCTTTATTTAATTTTTCAAATATTCATGTGGCCTGAGATAAGAATGGACATACGTAAAAACCTAATACGATTGAGTTTGAATCATTTTGAATATTTTGAAGGTCATTGAATATTTATATACTGAAAGATTAATAGAAACAAGTGAGTTCATTTTTTCTTCAATCTTGACGTTTTAAAAAAGTCATGAAATTTTTGATACGAATGTGTGGTGGTGATATGAAGGTGTGTTGATTATCACCTAAAGTCACAATAACACAAGTCAGATGTGGCTTTATTCACTTGTGTTCTTTCTTGTTTTCTATTCGTTTCTTATCGCATGTTTGTTTCTTCTTAAATTCGCTTTCGCGTACACTATTCACACTGTCAGATTTATGTCTTAGCAAACAATCAACACAGTTCAGAATTAAAGCAGAACAGAGTGAGAATAACGTATTCGACGATGTATTGGTAATTCTTTATTTCCAATTCTATTTATATTCGCAATCGGAGAACGATTAGTCTTCGCGTACCGCAGGCACTATTCGTTCGAATATACGAACAGTGTTCGTTGAACACATATGCCGACTCGAGGTGTGTGTCATACGCATATACACACGTGACGATTCTTTGTTCAATATTATCAAATGTTTTGCATTAATCTGCGTTCTACTTGCCTTTTCTGTAATATTATTTCATAGCAGAAGGCGACTTATTTGTTAACAAATGCTGATTGTGTTGATCTGTAGACTGAGAAGTGGATTTCACTTGATAAGAATAAAATAAATAAACAAGGAATCTTTTTGATTTCAAATTTAATTTATTTTTTTTCATTTTTTCTTACAAATTCATTCAAACTACAAAGAACAAAGAGCTTTTATTTGTGAAACTTGATCACTATGTGTCAAAATATGACTTTACAATGAATTTTCTTTGCTTTTTTAAAATTTTTTGGTTGGTGGTTTTACCCAATGGTTGTTTTAGAGACCTATTTTCCAATCTACCATGAATTCATGTAAAATACGTATTTTTCTCATCAGTTTTTATATGTATACATATTATATTCTAGGAATAGTTTTATAAAACTATTCCTATGACGATGAAGTAAAATTGCATTTTGTTCGCGTAGAAAGAAAGTACAGTCATTAAAATAGTAAATTTAACTGCTTTTACTCAGTGAATAGTGCCGAATTTTCTTCTCAAGTGTCAGATCGTTAAATTGCATTGAGCAATGAAAGTAACAACGAAGCCATAAAAACACAATAAACACCGAAAATAAAATTAGTGTGGAAATAATTGCGATTTTGTTCAGTTGACGGAAAAACACACTCAAAATAACATCACTTTTTAGCACTACATGAAATCTATTCGTGAGACGTAAAAGAATGTATGTTTTTTTGTCGATTTATATTTTTGAAAAGGAAAGTATGTTTTCTGTTGATTCTATCTGCGTTAAAAGGAAGTATGTTGGCATCAAGTCTAGCCTCCGCGGTTTTTCACGGTTTCCGCGGGACTGTTTGGAGATAACAACTTGGTGTCTTCGGCAGTTGTAGTACTTGAGGTGTTCTATAACATTGCTGAAGACAACTATCTCTTATCTCTTAACAGTTGCGCGCAAATCGCGCACATAAAAAAGCAAATTTTATATAGAACTTTTTTTTCTTATCATTTTTCGCGCTTTTCGCGGAACTGATAAGAGATAAGAGATAACTGGCTTTGGCAATGTTATAGAAGACCTCGAGTGCTGCAACTTTGTCGAAGACTTACTCTTGGAAAAGGTCGTTTTTTCATGTATTTCGACGAAAAAATAGCAGTTCTCTCATGTCAAAATGTCGTAAGAGGCCATTTCTGACCATTTTCCCCACAAAAACGATGAAAAATGACATATGATTCACCTGCCGAGGCCAGATACACGAACTGAATAATATACACGAAATTTTATTTTTCCATCTGAAGCGGCGCGACATAAGCGCAAAAAAGCGCAAAAAAAACATGTCAAAAAACCCCACTCCTCTGAGATATTTCACATTTTATACTTTGAACCCATTTTTGAAGGCTCCAATGGGGCCATAGAGGATAGGTTACTAGGCGGCTTTTGTAGCCCCATCAATTCCCTTTTCAACGGTACCAGCGGTTTGGCAATGTTTCAACTACTTCACAGTTAGATTTTAGTTACCGCAAACCTTTTTTTTCGATTTTTTCAATTTTTCCAAAAATTCACACTGGATGAACTCAGAAATGTGGGCCACTTACAGGCCTGAGATTTTTGTTTTCTCTTTTTCTATCGAAAACAAGACTCCAAGCCAATTTTCAGCCAATTCGGCGACCTCACATTACAACTCTTCCCTGATTTCGTGTGGAATGGCCGACTTATTTAATTTGAACCAAAGGCAGTGTATTTCAAAAAAGAAATAAAATCAAGATCTTGTAATTCATTTTACAAATAAATACATTACTTCAAAGTTACTTTGATGAAATACATTTCATGTAGTACGCCAAAAAATAGTTTGTTGTGAAACAACAAAATAGATAAAGTAACTAAAAACTCAAGAACGCAGAGCGGAGCGAAGCGAAGCTCTGCGGTCTTGTTTTTTTTTATTCATTTGTGGATTGGTCTGTATATTTCCAGAAGCGATAGTGTGTAGTCCAGCCGTTGCAGCGCAGGAAGTATGTGTGTATGTGTAGAGTGGTGTGCGTGAAGCGGCATTAAAAACTCAATCCACATTATGGTCAAATGATAAGCGCAACTGCGACCGATTTCGTTTGTCAACAGAAACAAAAAAAACAAAATTCCAGCCATTAAGACAGTGTTGAATAGATTTAGTTCCGAACAAAATGCCATTGACTATGAATGATGAGAAGAGGGCACTGAACCACCAGCGAAGGTCCTGCATCTAAGCGTCTGACAGTTCACTTCTAGCGCTG